GGAATCAACACAGCAAAGGAGGAGACTATATTTATAAGAAGAAAAACTACCACAACAAGAGGACATAGTCTTAAATTAGAGGGGCAAAGGTTTAAAAACAATATCAGGAAGTATTACTTTACTGAGAGGGTAGTGGATGAATGGAATAGCCTTCCAGCTGAAGTGGTAGAGGTCAACATAGTAAATGAGTTTAAGCATGCGTGGGGTAGGCATAAGGCCTAACTATAAGATAAGGCCATGGACTAATGAAAGTATTTAGAAAATTGGGCAGACTAGATGGGCAGAATGGTTCTAACCTGCCGTCACATTCTATGGGATTTCAGAATTCAAGTGGTTCAGTAGGGAGCCCCTCGAACCTGATCCACCAGAAATGACAACCTGAAGTTTGTCCTCCAGCAAGTGAAACATCTTATTAACCAACTGTATCTTAATCTCCAGGAAGAAATAATCATACTGGAGCTCTCTGTAGTGTCTTCAGCACCTGGAACACCATAATCCGCCATTACCCTATTAAAGTTGAACAACAAGTACAAACTTGAGAACCCCACGAACCTACAAAAAAAAATTCAGATTGAAAGTCAGATTTTGCCAACAGGGCCCCCAGCCCTATCAGACCAACCAACTCCAATACCCAATCAAAAGACGCATATCATACTCGACAGACCTGTTTAGCAGTGCCATCATCCACCGAAGATCCAAATGGGAAGGATAAATGGTGAATGAGCTAAAAGGTCCTTGGTTAATTTTTTGGAACCAAGCCCTTAGTGGACACCCGCAAATTGTGAAAGTGACCCACCCTAACCTCCTTTTGAAGTTTCTCTGACAAGATATTCTACTTACCCCAAATCAATAACAAATTAGGCGCAAATGATACCTCCTGCAACACAACCAACAGAATACGGAAACCATCCGTAACACCTTCCCATAAAATGTAAGCATCCCTACACTTGGGGTACCGAACGAGCCATGTGAGCAGCCTTTCTGCCTTCACTGGGGACCTTGCTTTGAGGAACATCCTTCTTAGCCAAAGTTCTTGGGAGGGACTTATCCAGCTTGAAGAAATGCACTGTCAGGTTTGCTCCCCTACAATGGGAACACTCGTGCTTAAATCGACAGCTGCTATACCACCTACAGTGTCTCATTAAAGAGCCAACAGATGGCTTTCTTGTGACCAGCTGACAGTCTTGTAGGAGCGCTGGTGGAAAGTGGTTGGGCTACACACAGAGTCATAAGTAGCAACCAAAGTTTACCATCCTGTATTCCAAAATCCAATTGAGCTCTAATCGCCTTTTTCCCCCCGCACTGCTAATCATTCTGATTAAGCACTGATCTGCTGCAGGCACCCCAAATGAGTTCCAAATAGGTAAACAGTGCCAGTGTCCTCTCAGGAAACCTACTAGTCAAAATACTTATACGTTTTACAAAGACTTGGAACAAATTTCCAAAACATTCTAAGCACTTACCTTTATCCCACTCCCCGACTGTCCACTGACTCACCCTTAATAAAAATGTTTATTATTTATTTATTTTATCCAGGGGCACGTGTAAACCCAGCATAACCTCATTATATACTAGACCCAGAGAGGAGGTACTACTTAACTCTGGTCCAAAATCCATAACTCCCCTGTAAGGCACACCTCAGGACAGGAAAGGGACCCACCCGCTCGAACCAGTGTAGATCCTGAATCCTGTGCAGGGGTGAAGTGCTCTAACACTGCCCTGAGCAACTGCACTACTTCCCTTTGAGACCCACTACTCCCTGCTGGCTCTGTCTGTGCAGCCCAAGTGTGAGCACAAGCATTCTCACAACTCTGGAGCAGGGGAACCAGTCTCTCCATCCTCTGAGAATTAGCCGAATGTACAGAAAACTGCACTCCGCTCTCTTTAGCTCACCGAACCTCACTGGAAGCAGAAGTCCTGCAGCAAATACAGTGAAGTACTCCAAATGCCTCCTGTGAATTGCCTCAGAATCCAGCGACTGAATAACATTCTAATTCTGAATGATATCCGAATCCAATTGCCAAATTGCCTCTGAATGCAATTCTTAAACTTCTCCAGAATTTGATCTGGCACCACCGAATGACATAGGGGCCTGTGATGTCCGTGCAGCGGTGCATACGGACATCACGTACGTGCCCCTGGGGGAGGTTTGAGTATCACTCCGTCTCCCCTGGCATGTGGCCGCATGCTCTGATGTGACATCCTGTCCAGATGGAAGAGAGGGCCTAGGGCTAAGGAACCTTACTCGAAATTCGGCGCCATCTTGAGGCGTTAAACCGACATCTTGGGAATGCGATCCAGATCTGGAAATTTTTCACCTGGCACTCTCCCAGATGTTCTCCTCACCACAGTCACTGGTATTTTAGTCCCCAAACCAGCCTCACTTGATTCAGGACTCCAGGGGGTTACTGGAGCTGCTCTGAATGACTAACCAGACTTGGGCAGAGCACATCTGCTCACGGGTGAAGAAGCCACTTCTCATTCCGATCCACCATGTTCCCCCGAACCCCCCATGACACCTTGTATTAAGGAAGCATAGGACTCTCACCATGAGCCTACAGCAGAGTGGGTAATGCCTCCCTCGACATCTCTGAAGCACTAGGCATTTTTCATTTATTTTTTTTATTTTATATTTTTACTGTGCAGAAGAGTAATACATACGGGCTTGAGGTACCCCAGTACCAGGATTTACATTTTGCAGTACAATTGGAGTAATAGATTAGGCAAGGACAATTTTATAATATGAACAGATGGTAACAAGATAGAAAGGTTCTAGTCACATCTGTCTGGCCAACAATCCGGACTCAGGCTGGATGCAAACAGATAATGGTAGGTTGGGCCAGGAGACAAGCTAGGATTGGTAATCTAGAGTTAACATGCTGAGCTACAAACATGCAGAACACTGCTAGCTATGGAGACACAAGATTTGTTACAGGAGATTTAGCATGTCAATAGGAACATCTGACTTAAGAGAGATCCACTGGGACTATGCTAACACTAGCACCCTGCTTTGTTAGGAGCTAGTCATGTGGGTAGGGTAGTAAGTCATGGCTTTAATGTTAGAGAGAGAGGGGATATATCAATTTGGTACATTCTACATGCACATTAAATGCTATTGACATTCAGGTCAGCTGCTGGAGAATCGTGTGCTTGGCATCTGGTAATCAGTATGTCCCCCTTGCAAGGTTTTCACCTGATTCCCTGACTGGGCACTGCTTAGAGGATGCAGTTAGGTCCAACAAAGATAGCCCAGTTGCGGCTCATGTATGAGGTGGTTCTCCGCTCTTGACCTTGTACTGAGCCAGTTCTGAGCGCTCCCTCCTGCCGGTCTCTCAATGTAGCGTGGCCAGGCGGCGCGGAACGCGGGACAGGAACCTCCGTTTCCTGTACCCGGCCGCCGGCGGACTGACAGGAAGTGCTCACTTCCTGTCAGTCCTCCGGCGGCTGGGTACAGGAAATGGAGGTTCCTGTCCCGCGTTCCGCGCCGCCCGGCCACGCTACATTGGCAGGAGGGAAGAGGAAGAGGAGGGTAAGTACCACTGGGGGAGAAGGGGGGCACACTAAGGACCACTGGGG